GATCAGAATGAGGCAACCATAGAGGAATCAGTCTGATCTCCATCGCCTCTAAATTGCTCGATTCTGTCATCCTTCACAGACTGACTGGCACTTGTGAAAGCCAGATTCGTGAAGAGCAAGCCGGATTTCGTCTAAGTCGTGGCCGCATTGACCACATCTTCACTTTGCGTCAGTTGTTGGAGCACCGTCACATATATTGGCGGCCCACCATTGTCGTGTTCCTCGATATCAAAGGTGCATTCGATTCGGTGGATAGACGTGCACTTTGGAACTGTCCACTCTGGAAAGATGTACCTGAGCAATATGTAAATATTATCCGGGCATTATATGCGCATAGCTCGTGCAAAGTGAGGGCTTACGGGAAGCTGTCGTCGCCCTTTAATATATCCAGCGGTGTGAGACAAGGATGCCCGCTGTCACCTTCCTCTTCAACTTCGCTGTTGACGAAGTCATGGAAGTCGCGTTTACAAGACACGACTTAGAAGGGGTGGATCTGCTCCCAGGAGAACGACTTCTTGACTTGGAGTATGCTGATGATATTGCCCTAATCTGTGACAGCTCACAAACATGCCAAGCCGCACTGGACAGATTAGCACTAGCTGTCCGTCACTTCGGGCTTTGCTTCGCACCTTCGAAGTGCAAAGCGTTCCTCCAAGATTGGTCTGGACCGCCTCCTTCGCTGATCGTTGGTGGGGATCAGCTAGAAGTCGTTCAAAAATTCAGCTAACTGGGAAGTTGTATCAGGGCCCGGGGGATTGAGGATGAGATCACGAACCGTATAGCAAAGGCTCGGAGCGCTTTTGCTAACCTTCGTCACTTATGGCGCCGGTGCGACATCACTCTTGCCCTGAAGGATAGAGTGTACAATGCAGTGGTACGTTCGACCCTACTGTACGGTTGCGAAACCTTGCCCCGCTTAAAGCAGCGGACCTGAAGAGGCTAGTTGACCGATCACCGTTGACTTCATAATTTAGCTCACATCTGGTGGGTACACCGCGTGAGCAACGAGCGTGTTCGGCGCCTCGTTTACGGCACAGGAAAAGGAACTGAAACGCTCAGCACCGTTATTTTACGCATCAGGCTCCGATGGCTCGGCCACGTGTTACGCATGCCAACCCACCGACTCCCGCGACTTGTGTTGTTTGCGCGCCGGGGGTGTGGATGGAAGAAGAGGAGGGGTGGCCAAGCGATGACTTGGTCGAGAGGAATGAAGGCCTTCACTTCTGAGCTGGCCTCGGTTGGAGCGTCTCGGCTCCCTGGTTGGGGTCCGAAAGAAGATGAACACGTTTGGTTGGACACACTTGCCGACATGGCAAGGAGCCGACCTCAGTGGCGTTCGTGCTGTGAGTTTCTTTGTCCCACCCCATCCCTCTTAGCCTCCCCCTCTAAACACGGTCTCATTATTTAGCCTTATATAATTTTGCATAGTAATTTTTTTGATGCACAGTAGCCGGCTGGTAGCTTGCCGGAACGATGCCCATCCGTTAACCACAGCTCAGCCAGCTTGCACCAGTTGCTTTTTTTCTCTTTTTTTCTATGTATTGCGGCACAGTAGCTGAAGTGTTTCCCACCTCCAGCTAACGTGTAGTATGATGATGACTGTGAACGCCGATCTCAGCTGTATCCGGCGTCCCAAGACCAGTAGGTGTTTACCTATCGAGGACCCGGCGGCCTTCCCGAGTACTGGTTTTGAGAGGGAATGGAGTTTAAGCAAATTCGTGCTGGATCCATTTCGACATTTGTTCCTTTATTAGGGAAGTCAGAATTCTATCACTTCTGCCTAGGTAACTACTTCCGCACTCACACACGAATGACATACACAGTTTGAATCGGCCACGATAGGCTGAGCTTCCTTCGTTCTAGGGTCCGACACACTTCGGATTCGGTTGATTGCAAGAAATTGTGCAGAGCAGTAACTTCCATACGTAGCCAATATTAGTTGCCTACTCATCTTTACGGTCGCAAAATCACCTCGGAAAGGTAAATCGAAATGAACTTTCTTCTTGGCTACCATGTGTACCAAGTCCTGCTGTCCTCGCAGCTGGCTGTGTTTATTGATAAATCTTCGAGGCTAGCCGTTCGCCACCGGCGTTTTTTTAATTAAGTCTAGCTCACCAAGTGGACAGTCGGCAGAGCGAATTCGTCTGGGCCGACTAACTAGAGCCTTCACAAGTGTACGCTTGTACCTAGAATTTAGTGAAGTGTAAGTACTGGCCTGACCAAGTTGTTTTTTAATAAACAGACCTCTTAATCATTCCATCCTTCCCGCGACTGATGAGAATGTCCAGATATGGTAGGTAATTGTTCCGTTCAACTTTACAGGTAATCCGTAAGTTCGCAGGTGCATCGTTAAGGGGCTCTACCAACTGTGCGGACTGCTGCTTAGACGAACAAAACGCCAAGATATCATCGACATGGCGTTTGAAGTAGGCCAACTGGTCTATTTCTGCTGAAATGCTTCTTTCTATCATCAACATGAAGAACTCCACCAGTACTGGCACTAATAGGCTAAAAATTGTTACGCCGTCGATTTGGCGATACGGCGTGTTTCGAAAATGGAGGTCAACTTCCTCAGTGCACAATAATAGTGCTTCCCTCAGCAATGTAGTCGGAATTGGTAATGAACAGCCAGAGTCTTCAGTTAATTCACGTACGTAGTCATCTGTCTGATGTAGTGGGACATTCAGGGAACACATGACTTTCTCTGACAGGCTGTTGTTATCCATCGCATTATGCATTTCGGATGAGATTGTAATTGAAGAGAAATCTAAATGTATAGGTGGTGGTTTAAATGCCAACAGCATAAACGCCACTGGGGTCTACACTTCGTGATATCAGCCAGTGTTTCCAGCCAAACGGGTTCATCGTTCTTGGGACCAGAACTAGGCAGTCGAGATGCACTAACCGACATCAAATTCAGAGTAACAGTTTTCATTTCACTCTTGTTTAGGTGTGGACGTCTTGTTAGTCCAATCATAATTTATTTATCTTACAACCACAAACAATTTCATGCTGCATCGACGGTCACGCTCTTGGAGTAAACAGTCGCCATAGCTGCTGCATACAACGGGATGGATAAGCGCAGATGTGTAACCGATGCAGCCTCTTTTCTTGCTGTCTTCCTTTCCCTTCCACATTCTTTTCTCCCAATCTCTATTTCACCTGACTCACCCACCCTACCTGCCTCAACCCCACCGCACCTCAACTCACCACCCCAGGGATTACCATCATACATATTCAGCTTTGGCAGTGTCGTTCAGCTGTTTACAGTAAGAAAATGAATGAAAATCCCTTTTGACAACTGTGACTGCCATAAGGTCACTGACTGTAACGAAGCACTTGATGGTATCATACAAATGGGTGACGAGTTGGTTGTTTTGCGATTTTTCACTTTCTGTACGTAAAATGATAATAACGCCATTGTGTCTACCCATCACACTCGCTTCACCGTCGGTAGATAAGCATGCAAGTTTACTCAAATGTAATTCAGTCAGACAGAAGCTGATCGGATTACTTAAAGATGTCCTAGTTTGTTGTACTGCCCTGCATTGGAATCAGTTCGATCAGTTCTTCATATGTATTCAATTCGCTGCCACACGCCTTGCTGAAAACCGCAAGCTAGGGTATCCCAGTGCTGTAAATGGTCTCAATAGTAACAACGGAAAAATATTCAAAACCGAATGATATGGCCTCCAGCCGTTGTTTCAACTGAAATCAATTAAGAGGTGATTGGCCATTTCAAACTTTAAATGATATCCTGTATAAAGAACAGTATGACGCTTTTGTTTGGAGGACATATTTGCAGCAAGTTTAACTTATAAAATCGGCAATTTCGGAAGCGTAATGACTAAATTACAATACTCTTTGTGCAAGTTGCATGGAAGCTTGCAAAGGGCCGATTACAAAGGTAACTCTGAGTTCCAGATATTGTTGATAAAATAGGGCAACATTAAGTTACTATACCGGATTAAGCGACATTGTAATGGCGTGGTAAAAAACGAGGAGTGTAGGTAAGTAATGCGGCGATACGGTCTGTTCCCCGGATAGCTCTCAGAAAGCTATCCCCCGTATTGTATTATCTCTCTCGTATGGTACGGTCATCGAATAATTAACGAAGGGCAATCCGGCCGTCATGCTGATGGAGTAGCTCCCCCATTCCACCCATCTGGGTCATCAGCTGTTGAGATGTTTGATATGTTAACAGCAGCACTAAGTAACTCCCTAAATATACTTTAACGGCTAACTTTTTTCCGAAATGTTTCTCAAACTGTGATGCTCAATTTATTCGACCGTTATGTCTCGCAAGGTGGCTTGAAAATGTTTCAAGTACGACCACTCTTCGGGTATGTTGGTTGCTTCACCGTTGAAGGCTCGTCTTTTGGTGGGCTTGTTTTGCACCACGATTTTGTGATTAATTTTCTACTGCCCGCACTGACCTTTATTCTGGTCCATCATTTTGCTGCACTCACATACGATTTTACACAGTACTGCATCCTTTCTTCCATAAGCACAACATTAAGGCAACCAACATATTTTCACCAAGCCTTAGTGTCACGACATTGACTACTAGCTCTTCTCGCCCTATTCGTTACCACTTCTTTTCAAAACAGATGTTTCTACTTAACACGGTACTGTCACAGCGTGCTGAAGCTTTTGTTGCATGCACGGTGGTTACTGGACATACTGTAGCTAGGAAGTTATCTTATTTAAGTGTACCTTTTCCACTCAAATGGCTATAATATTGACAGCTTCGTGATTTGAGTTTTGGTCCTCTTGTTCCATGCGAACATTTTGCTATACTGCAGACACACTAGAAGTAGATCGTTTTTTCCCAACCACTATCAACATAATGAAAAGATAACCTGTTTTCCTTCCGAACTGTACATTGTATCCTTGTTTTAAGAATCTGCTTGACGCTACTTAATCAATGTTGAACAACGGAAGTCTAGAGCGGTGTTTGCGCGGTACGCCTCATGGACTTTTTGAAATTTTCTTTTTAGCAGCGTTATTACGTTCTATGTGCGAGATTGTGATCTATCAGTTGCCGGAGGAAAACACCACGGCGTTTTACAACAAAATTGGATTTCCTGATTCAGCTATAACCATGCTAGAACAAGAACTTCCAGGTAGTTACAATCATTACAAACGGTTGTCGCTTGCGCTGGGAGCTTGGACTGGATTGACTTTCGAACTTGAATCTCCAACCAAAACCCAGACTGTCACTGGAACTTCTGGTGTTCCGACCGGGACAGAAGTAGTCGAGGCACCGGTGGATGGCCCTCAAGCGCAGAAAGAAGCACCACTTCAAAATCCTGTCATGGATACGAAGTCCTCTTTCGAGGATACTGGGGAGCCCAAAGGAATCAGCCATCAAGAGTCTAAATCGGTTTATTCACTTACATGGGCAAGCAATCAAGCAGACCTGTCGGCCCTGTTGCGCACGCGGGTTATTGGTCCTGAAGCATGCCCTAATAGACTCTTGCAAATCGTCCACTTACTTCGTGTGCGACAGTTGCACGATGCACTGACTTTAGAGATGAAAAAGGCGCAACAACCGAAGTTTTGACTGAGAGAAACGGTACCCATCTTTATCCCTACAGTTTGCGATTATTGATCAGTGACCATTCTCCTCAGGTATCAATGCATGCGTCTATGCCGTTTCGACTTTTGTTCGGGCCTTGTGAACGCTAACCACTACTTTCTCACATTACCATTTGCCACCGCTGAGTTTGTTCGCGATATAAAGAAGTACTCCGTTTAAATAAGTTGATTCAGTACAGTAAACATTTGCATTTTGTTATCAATCTTCACCTACAGGTGCATCTCACTGCATACTAACTAATTCAGAGAATAGCTGGTTGATGTTTCAGTGTTAGTGGTTATGTTATTGAGTGAAGCTCAGAGCTAATAAGACTTTATGACATAAAGCCACGCGCACAGTTTACAACTTAGGACTACCGACTTCATCATTGCGAGGTTAGTTAACGTCTTTACCGAGTAACAGCAGGATTTCTCCCAGCCTTGCATGTCAAATTAGCCATTATACAAACCCGGTACTAGTTTACTCTATTCTTCAACCGTTGTCTATGCTGGTTAGTTTCTCCGTGGAAGTGCAGTAGCGATGTCAGTTAGACGCTTCCCTCTGGCATGTTCCTGAAAGTCGCCACTCTTTTTACTTTTAAATAAATTGATAAACAACTTATCTCTGACAAAGTGAGACACCGTTCAGCAGACGTGGAATTGTCTCACAATAGTTTTAATAACTTGTAAATAGTCGAGCAGACATATTGTCACATCCAGCGAGGCTTCCTTGAGTAAATATTAAAGGGTCCAGAACACTCTCTTGGATAAATCCACTTTTCCCGGGCTGCCACAGGGAATGTGGCTTTCAATCCTGACTATGTGGGCTCTACCGTAAGACTATAAGAAACACGTAGAGAATAAGGAATCGACTATATCAGATGATCTTAAGGTTGTCAAAAGTCTGTCATGTGGTACCTGGTCGAAGAACATTTGCATATTGGTAGATATGATATGGGATTTGCGCTTATCGGCAGATTTAGTCCTGTGAGTTAACAGTTCTAGATGAAATGGCTGGCAAGGACAACCTTTAGTTAAACTACGCTACGCCTGACTAATAATCTTTTTGTAAGTGGAACGTCCCAAGTCTTTTCATTCACCATTTTTTCAGTAACTTTAAGTAGAATATAGAGATGGCTGGTCGGCCGATACTATCTCCATCGTTCTTTGCGCCCTGTTTGTTCCGCGGAACTGCCACAACATATTTCCAATGAGATGAGGCAAACCTGGTTTTCTTCAACAAAGCAAACGTTATTTGCAGCATGGCAGGAATGTTGGGGCCACTATAGTTTAAGATGACTGAAAGAATTCCATTAGGACCACCGTAGAAAGATGGATCTAAGGAATTGAGGAGCGTATTTATTTCTGTATATTTAAAGTCTATTTTCACCAAAACATCGCTCGAACTCAATTTTGATGGCGTCGTCTGCGCAGTGTTAGTAAAGGATAGACAGAACTGATTCTTAGAAACATTGCCAATAACCACTGATTCTTCGGTTGAGATGAGTGTAGGCAAAGCAATATATGTGGTGCGGACATTCCGGAAGCATCCTCGACGACTGAATAACTAGATAAGGTTTTTTAATTTGTCGCAACCTGAGATTACTCGGCCATCTTTATAACTGCGTCCTTAGGTCTGTGTGAGTCTAACCTACTAAACAGGTTAACTTGATGCAGTATGGTCTAATCATGAGGCTTTGAAAGCACCTGCTGAATTTTTGTTTATTAATCTGGAGTAAATACTGCTTTTAGTAGCTCATTGTTGTTTCAGTTGTTTTAAGGAAGCACATATGTCTGGACATTGGTTAATAGTATTATAAAATGCTTCATTTGTTATTCTTGGCTCGCACGCAAGAAAGGATATATACTACGGATTCAATCTCAGGAATGATTTGGATAGTTACCAGTCATTCAAGCGATATGACCGATAAAGAGCTCCGAACTCAGACCATTACTTGCCGTTGAAGGAGAACGTGCGGATCCAGTTTAGAATAGGGTGCTTGATCCCGCAATGGTGGAGCTTGGAAAGAAGTATGTGATGGTCTAGCTGCTCGAAAGCCTTCGAAAAGCTTGCTAAATAACATCAGCATCTTCTCCGGTGTTAGCTGACTTGGTCCAACTGCTGCGTGCGATTGGTAGATTCCTTGTGCACGATCGCCGCCGACGGAAGCTATGTTCCTCGGGCCTACTGATGTTACAGTTTTCCAGATAACACACCAGCGTATCGGTAACGGTTGATGCCATGACCTTGTTGGGTGTATGGAGAAGAGATTCTGGTCGATAGTTGGAGGGCTCAGTTCAGCTTCCGACCCTGTGAATCGGAGTTATTATTCCAAACTTCAAGATGGCAGAAACCTGGTTTTGGTCTAAGCAGCGCTGGAAAAAGTGAGCCAAAGCTCCTGCTCGTTATCTTACTGTTGCTTCCGGCGCCTCTGCACGAATGTTATTGACAACCGAGTAGCTGTGATTGCGAAGAGACGTCAATTTCTGCAATACAGCTTCAGCGGTAACAGTGATGTTGGTGAGTCCTGAAGGCGGGATGATGAAAGTTGGAAGATTACTTGATGGCAAGACTCCCTGAAACGTGGGGGTGTATTGCATCTACAGCGCGTATGCTGCTTCTATAGCCGTTCTTGTAAGGCCAATAGCCATCTTAAATGGAGGAAATCCTTGGCTCAACTTTCGTAGGCCATTGATGTGCTTGGACAGCAGTTTAGGTTTATCACTGAAGGTTTTTGCAATGTTCTGTATGTACGCGGCCTTGTCTTCTCTGAGCAGTTGTGTGTAGTGGTTAATTTGCGTGACATAGTTCTTACCATTTTCTCTCACTGAAGCTACTCTGTACACCCGTCATGTTGTGTTGTCTACTGCCATCCATTTTTGAGTTCTGCTCCTAACGAAAAAATTGTTTTAGAACTCTTATTTTTGACGCATCTGCAGTTAGTCGACTGAACTCAAACCAGGCGACTTCCAAGGTTTCCTCGGCAAGGAACGACCAGGTTGCGTTGGTGACGAGTTGGGCCAATCGACCGAAGCCTATGATTGTTCGCGCAGTCTCATAACTCTCATTTCAATAATCCGCATAGCAGATGAAGTTGAAACAAATGACTGCATGATCACTGTGACCCAACGCTCAGTGTACCACCAACATATCAATCATATGCTCTTCGTTGGTAAGCAAGAGATCCGGCACAGATGACCTGTTACCAGTTCTGGACCGAGGGTTAAAAGTGACGTGATTGTAAACCGGAACAGTAGCTACGAGTTCCTGCAGATCGGTTTAGAATTTTTCACCGTTCATGGCAATGGTTTCTAAACAATGCACATTGAAATCACCCATGATGATGGTGTGTGTATCTTCATGCTAGAGTGCGTCTTAAAGTAGCCGCATGGTGGCAGTCGTTTTCGCGTGTAGATTTTGAGGTGCCGTACACCAACGCCATAAAGCAGGACCCTTTGCCTTCAAACTGCAAGCTGCACCAAAGAGAATCGGAGAATTGCGAGACCGAACTCTCCATAGCCTCCTACTACAATTCATTTTGTTAGTACAGAAGTTACTTTTGTGAGTTGACAGTTTCCGATGAGCGACATGCCCGTTAGGAAAACTTCGGCGTCCGTCATTCCGGTGTGGAACCATGTCTCCGTGATACCGGTGATATCATATGACCCGGAACTTTGGCGATCTCTTAGTTCTGCCAGTTTGTTGAAAAGATTCTCAGCATTTGTATACAAGTAGACTAGTTTTTCGGTCACTAGGAACCCATAGAGGGTTAAAAGGGTCAAGTGTGGCAGAATACTGACCGATGTGAGGTCGGCCGTTACTCGAATTTTTGGTGGGGTACTTCAATAGTCCAATAGTTCAATAGTGTATGATGGGATAAAAAGCATTGGCTTTACAAGACCCATAGGATGGTAAATGCAAAATAAGTACAAATCATTCCGACATGGAACTGAAATGCCAATAGTCTAAACCTGGTACATTACACCACAATGTGTTGTTTGTCACTCAGATGAATGTCTAACAATTGTTTGAAGGCTGTAATGTTCGGAGCGTTTACCACATGCGTTGGCAAGTCATTCCATTGTGAACAGATTCTAAGAGAGTAAAAATATTTTCTACAGTCTAATCGGGAGTGTTGGATTATCAGCTTGAGGTTATGACCTCTCGATCGCTTATATGAGGCTAGGGTGAGCAGCCATTTGCACGGGTGATCGCTTTCCGTTAATATCCGGTATGCGAGAATGAGATCTCCGCGTAGTCGTCGGTATTCGGAGGAAAACATTCCGATTAAATTGAGACGCACTTCATAATTGAGACCAGATAATCCGCGTGTTGCCTTGGTAGCTCTTCGTTGGGGCTGCTCTAAGAGATGAATGTCTCGTTTTAACCATGGGCACCAAGCCTGGATGGCATATTCGATGTGGGGACGGATATAGGAGTTGACAAGCATGGGTACCAGCCGTCGTTCAAAAACACCAAAAGCTCGCCTCAAAAGTCTCAGGTTCATGTTCGCCACGTTCGCTGCTTTGGAATATTGGAGCGAATTTCCCAGACTTTCTTGCACAATGATACCTAAGTCTCTTTCTGTGGTCACGCGCCGTAAAACGTACTGCCCCAAGAGGTACGTGTTGGCAAGATTGCTGCGCAATGACAGTAGGTGACACTTGGCAGGATTCAGTGGGAGATGATTTATATCTGCCCATTTGTTGATTCTATCCAAATCATTCTGGAGGAGGGCACAGTCTGATGTTGAGCGAATAACTCTCCAGATTTTTGCGTCATCTGCAAAAATTTGCATCGAGGATTGAATATTATCGGGGAGGTCGTTAATGTAGACCAGAAAAAGGAGGGGACCAAGGACGGATCCTTGAGGAACACCGCTGGAGATGCAGAGGGTTTCCGAGAGGGCATCGGCGACTCTGACCTTGATCGTTCTGTCATGCAAATATGCTGCTAGCCAGGTGAGTAGGGAACCATGGATACCGTAGGCACGAAGCTTATGAAGCAGAGCTAAGTGTTTGACTCTGTCGAATGCCTTCGAAAAGTCTAGGTAAATCACATCAAGGGGAGATCCTTCATCAAGTGCTTTGGTCCATGAATCCCGAGCAAGAAGCAGATTTGTGAGGCAAGATCGTTTGCGCCTAAAGCCGTGTTGGAGGTGAGAAATTAGCTTCAGACTCTCAAAATATCGTGTAATTTTATCTGCAACTAACGATTCCATTACTTTTGATAACACAGGGAGGAGAGTAATGGGTCGGTAGTTGGCAGGATCCGATCGCTTACCTCCTTTGTATATCGGAGTGACTCTCCCGCTTTTCCACTCAGACGGAAGTGTTTGGGAATTGAGTAGACTTTGGAAAAAGCTTGCGAGGTGTGCTGCTATGGTGGGAGCAAGAGTTTTAAGAACTTTGGGTCTGATCTTGTCGACTCCCGGAGCGCTATTTTCTCTTAGAGACCGTAGTTTGCTAGCGACAGCTGCTG